GATTATATAGACAAGCTGAAGTACTATTGCCGCGTAGAAGATGTTCGAGTAAAGTCCAATCCTAAAAATGCTCGGTGGGTTGCCGTTCTGAATTTTCGGTATTAATTACGATTAATTACATTTTTTTTTGCATACTATTGGGATGGGTGAATGAATTATAAACCAACAAAACGATCCAGAAAATTCTCAACAAATTAGCAGACTAATTTGCCACTTTGGAACATAAAATCGGCAAACTTCGTAAATAGTAAATGAACAAGCTAGTAATTACATAGCAAAACTAATTATCTACAATTAGAACTAAAATTGTAGAACAAATTACTGGATAACTAACAATTTTGTTTGGGTTGATTGTAAAGAATGAAAAATAAATGAGAAAAAAGACAAGAAAGATGTTAATTGTAGGGAAAATATAAAAGCAATACTTTAAACTAAGAATGTGAACATTTGAACCATGCAACTCGACTTGGAGGATGAAACACATTTCAGTCTTAGGAGGGCAGGACACAAGTGACCTACACCTATTCTGTTCACGTATAGTTTTCAGGATCGGGCTATCCTGAAACTAGCCGAAAGACCTTTTGAGCGTTCCAGGTCATGGAAAAATCATCTAAAAGGTGATGCAGGTAATAATAGCCTAGAAATAGTAAGATTAAGGAGCACAGACTTAGTGATCCTTATGAGTATGCCTTGAAGTGATCGCCTATGCTTGACAAAAAACACTGAGCCTCTTGTAAGGTTCACCTTGAGGAATTAGCTTTGTGGCCCTTAAGAAAGGCCTCTCATGAGGTGTGCCTAAGCCTCAATAGCTTTCTAAAAACAATGACGATAAGGGATTGGTTAGCATATTTTATCATTACTTTTGAATTTCATTTAGTTATCCTTGTTAAAAGGACTTTGGTCTATTGTATTTTCGTTCATCAAGATTCATTAATGATAAGTTATGTACTGTACCAGGGATGTTATAGCTCAGATTGAACATGAAGATATGGCTGTGATGGATCTGATTAGATCCAATGAATGGGTATTCCCCAACTTTTCCGGTCTAGATCACCATTGAATTTATGTCCTTCATTAACTTTCTTTTTTAAACAAAAGTCAGAAGACATTGACTTGCTTGATTTGATCGTTCTATGGACTAATTTTACATGATTTGATCAGTTATTTGTAACATTGAGCCTCATAACTGTTACTGGTTTTTGATGGACTTTTTTGGTCATTTTCTTAAAAGAATTTCATCCAATGTTAAATGGTCATCATTTATAACAGGTATTATACGTTTTCTATTACCATTTTGGATTAAGCAATTAGACTCGTATCTGGTTTTAATACTTGATTTACCACTATGAAATTCTATTTCTTATGGAATGTGTAGCATTTTTTATTTTCATATGTCGTGTTCTTTGTTTCTGATTGTACAAATGCAGGTTGTAATGTTAGATGAGCATGGACTCGATGTGGGATCCGAGCAAATGGCTTCTTTAATTGGGGATGCTAGTAACAAAGTATGAAAGACTTTCTATTTAAAATTCTTTCTGTACTGGATCTACTATATTAGTAGGAGAAACAGAGAACGAACATTTATAAGCACATGCATTGCCTTATTATGATTACCACGTCCATTTTGGATGAGTAAGTATGCACAAGTGATGAAGAGAATTAGCTCTAGCTCTGATGTCATGCCCCTAGACTTTCTGATGGATGACAGGTTTCCCTTTTCAATAGGGAGCTTCAAGCTTACTAATTTGCATAGGTGGGCCTTATGGTCATGGAAGGCAGTTGAGAGAGAGGGCCAATGTATCAATCAAATTGTCATCTTTGGTCTTGAATCATGAAATTGCCTTAGTTGTACTCTGTGAGCAACTTTACAGGTAAGAAATATACCGAATTTGAGATTCATGAATTAAATATGCTTCTGGTTCAAATTATTTTATTTTTATTTTTATTTTTATTTTTTGTTTTTGCATTGGGATGGGGGAGGATGAGAATTTCTTGAGGAACCTCCTATTCTTGCTGGGAAGTCAGTCCATTCCATGGATTGATCAGGCAAGCAAGCTAAGCGAGTCAGGAAACTGTACAATTTAGATTGAAACGAGACATTAAAAATATCGATTTCTTGAACTTCTTTTGTCATTTAAACGGAAAATATTTTCTCAAACAAGTGTGAAAGAAATATATTATAACACCAGAAACCAGCTTTCCTATTCTTTCTTTTCTTAAAACCCATCAGGAAGGAACTTGCACCAACATAATTACGGAGTTAGGCAGGCGCACTCCTGCTGTTTGCAGTATATATAGACTTTGTTTGAGCCCCATTCTTGAAAAACTCACTTTTTTCCCAACTCATTTTCAACCGCGCATTTTCCCGATAAAATAATTTTACATGTAAACTCAAAAACCATTTTTCGTACTTTTTAACCATATTTTTTCAAAAAAATCACTATTACAAAAACTATTTTTCCAAATAATGGGGCTGAAACAAACCTTAGAAAGTACTCTGTTTCTCCTAAAGTTTCAATTGAAGATCCGAGAATAAGCATATACACTGAATTCTTGAAAGACAGGTACTTTTCTTTTATTGTTTCACAATATGTGGAAAAAGATAGTTGAAGATGACATCATTTTTTTATTTATTAGTGTCCATGGTAGTAAGGTGATTTGAATAATCCAAGATAGTTGAGGCTAACCTCTGGATTTATGCAAAAACAATGAATTTTATATTTTTTAATTCGATCCATCTATCAATATTTTATAAGAATGAGAACAAAAATAAAAAACTTCAGAATGCATTGTATTCGTTAGATTGCGAAGGGTCATACTTTGGAGTCTCAGTGTGATCGGAATGGTGTTTGGAGAAGGGAGGGCTAGCCTATAGTGCTCACCCTTGGAATGGGAGTGCAAATATGTCCTGCTATGGAAGTTTGTTTGTAAGCAAACATGCCACACTGATGAAATTGAGCAGTAGACAGTACAGGATTTAAAACATAAGGGACTGATCACGGATGTTTGATTTTCATTTTCTAACAGTTGCTTCTAGAAATCTAAGGAGTGAACTTCTTTATTGTGTTTCGAGGATAACCATAGAAATTCTGATAAGATTTATTATTAATGTTCGAAACTTTCTCCTTCTCAAGGTTACTCCACTTGAATTATGTTAAATAATGAATTGTTTAGGAGTATTTTATAGGGCATGGACGATTCTCAAAGGACAGAAGTACCATCACTAGATACTTTTACAAAAAAAGACAGTCAAGCCATACAGGTATGCTATTTTCTTTGCTACATCTTGGAACATCATTATTTCATTATTCTCGCTGCAAATATCGTGCACGTGGATTTGTTCGGATCTCCTACATATTTATACAAGATGTTATTTCTATGCTGCGTATTAGTAAAGTTGGCATGAATATTATACTACTCCAATAAGAGGTGATCTCCAAGTAGTCTTCCATAGTTTTTGATGAAAGCTTTAGAACTCTTTTGAGTCTGGAATGGTTGGATTGACGAGATCTCTTTAATTTTTTCTCTTCGGTTTTTCACCTTTTCTTATCAGATCTAAAGAAGTCATTTGCCTACTTAAATGGATCAATGGAAAAGTATAGAGAAAAGAAACAAGAACTACGTTATTTATTTTACAAGAATTCTATGATAGTCTATTGAAGTTATGTGGTAGGATGCAAGGGAGAAAATGCACTTCTTGTTGCATTATGCAATAATATTGAGGATATGTACTAC